CAACAAGAACAACAAAAGAGAAACAAATATAGGTAACAAAGTCATAGGGGGGAGGCAAGGGTGGACAAAACAGGTGACAGGAATCAACAGGTGAAGGGGATCTAGAGGCACAAACTTCCAGTTATAAAATAAGGAACATGGATGTAAATACAGCATAGGGAATATGCTCAATAATAGTGCAATAATTTTGGTGACAGATGGTAACCTGCTTTTCACGGTGAGCATCTCATAACATATGTGATTGCTGAAATACTATGTTGTACATGTAAAACTGATACTATACATCTACTATACTTCAATTAAAAATAAAGTTTTTTAGGGATGGCTGGGTGGCTCAGCCAGTTTCATTTCAGCTCAGGTCATGATTTCACGGTTCATGGGATCAAGTCCTGAGTTGGGCTCAGCGCTGACAGCGAGGAGCCTGGCTGGGATCCTCTCTCTCTCTCTCTCTCTCTCTCTCTCTGTCTCTCTCCTACCCTGCATGAGTGTGTGTGCATGCTCTCACTGTCTCTAAAAATAAATACGTATTTAAATAAAATATAAATACAATATTTAAAATGAGAGTGTGGGTGCAAAAGATCTCCTGAAGAAGGACTGGACACGTCTCATGTTCTTAAACCTCTACTGTTCCTATCATTATGTGCTCATGTTTCAGAAAGAAGGAATAAGGCTACTGACTCATACAACCATCAAGTTTAGACTCATAAATCTTTTCTTCAAAACCTTTTACAGCCTGTGCCAAAAGACAATCTTTTATCACACTACTCACTAACTATGTTTTAGTTTCCTCTGAAGGCATCGAAAAATGCTTCCACTATTTCTATCTGTTCATCCTTTGGCTTTTTCTAGTTCCTGGCTTATTTCCTTCATCTTCTGTGTACACATACCCTAGTATAACCCATCCCTTAAATCCCAGCTCCACCAGGGAATCTTCCTTGATGATCTAGACCCTATTGATTCCTCTGCATGCTTCATTACATATCTCTTTTATCAAACAGTTAACATGGGAGAAGTACCTTGGACCTAGGAATAAAATGACAGGGGGTCCCACTCTGGGGACATATTTAATGCCATGGGTTTCCTCTTTAATGCCACACATACAAATGGTATCTGTATTTCTCTGTAAAATGAGAGCTTGTGCATAAGGTCACTTCCCATTATTCATTCAAGAAATAAAATGAGCACCCACCTTTGCTAAGCTCTATCTTAGGTGCTAAGGATACAGTGAAAAAGAAGACAATGCATGTGTATATGTATGTATGTATCTATGATTATGTCCCTTGAGTTCAATGGTTCTCAAGCTTTAGCTTGCATCAGAATCACCTGGGGGAGCTTATTAAAACTCAGATTTCTGTACAGAACCTACAGCATCAGATTCCCAAGAGAGTCTGATGCAGTAGGTGCGGAATAGGGCCCACATTTTAGCATTTCCAGATGTTTCTGGGTGATGCTCATACTGCTGGACCAGGGCCACACTCAGAACCTCTGTTCTAGCGAAATGTCTTTGTCTTTTTCACTGCTCTATTTCACTGCTCCCCCCGCTGTGTGAGCCCACGGTGTCTTCGGTGTGGGTTCAGCATAGACTGGCTGTGCTAGGTCAGCACTGAAACAGTACCAGGCTTTGTGAAAAGACCACCCTTATTTCATACAGAGACGTACTTGATGAGCAACAAAACAAAAGCACCTCAAGTCCCTTTGTTCAGATCAAGGATTCTTAAAGTGGGCTCCCAACACCAGAGGCCTCAGCATAAGTGGAGAACCACTTAGAAACGCAAACCCTCAGGGCACCTGGGTGGCTCAGTCAGCTAAGTGTCTGACTTCAAACTCAGGTCATGATCTTACAGTTTGTGAGTTTGAGCCCCACATCAGGCTCTGTGCTGACAGCTCAGAGCCAGGAGCCTGCTTCAGATTCTGTATATCCCTCTCTTTCTGACCCTCTCCTGCTCACACGGTCTCTCTCTCCTCTCTCTCTCTCTCTCAGAAATAAATAAAACATTAAAAAAAAAAAGAAATGCAAACTCTCCACTCCCGCCCCAGAAATACTGATTATGTTTGGAGGAAGAGGTGGTGAGGCCCAGCCACCTGATGTAACAGGCCATGGTTCTAGGTGGTTCTGATGCAAGCTATGGGGTGAGGACCCTTGGTTAAGAAACCAGCAGCAGCAGCAAGGAAACAGACGGGCAAGCCATGCAACCTCTCACGAACTTGACAATTTTGCCTAAACAGCCTTTTATCATCTTGATGACATTTAATACACACACACTTCTTCACCCCAACCCTGCTTCAACTCCTATAAAAGAATCACGGTGAAAAAAACATTAGCGGTAGGGGCTGTTCCATTTCTTTGAATAGGAGTGAGGCAGAGAAACTGAAAGACTACATAAAAATCTGCTTTTTGCTATTTTTTCCGCCTGCATCCCGCCAGGACTGGCACCCCCACGTTACACACACTGCATAGCGCAAAGAGCAAGTGTCCTCCCCGTAAGGGACACGGAGTCATTGACTGCTCTATAACAGATAACATCTCAGGAAGGACCAGGAGAGAAGCCACCATATGGAAATTCCAGACCACAGAGCTGGACATCCCCACAGGGACCCGCTGGCCCCCAGGAGTAACACGTGGGCCCTCCACTTTGTTCTGACCGGTTCCCAGATGCCAGAGGGGACGCGTACACCACACCCCAAACAAAGATGGGCCTCTACTCCTTTCTGAGTCTCCCAGGTGCTCCGTCCGTACCTGCCCTCTCTATACCTCCAGTAAACCCCGCTCTCACTTCCTGCTGGCTCATGTTTGAGTTCCATCCTCTATGAAGTCAAGGACCCTCTAGGTTGGTCTTGGGAACACCTCTGGGTCCTTGGACCCAGCCAGACAGCATCAGCAAGATTTTACTGGCTGATATACATACACTTGGTCACTTGCAGATAGAAGTTGACATGTGCTTAGGGAATAGCTATGTTCAAGCCTATTTTGATGGACTATTAAAACACATGAAGGTAAATGAATGCTTTGTCTTATTTGTAACTAAACAGTCATAGTCATTTCAGATGTATTCACTCGACTGTGATACTCAAACCACATGACAATTTTTGGGTGTGACTTAAAGTTTCACAATTCCCTCAAAAGGCATATGTGGAATAATTCCCTGCTCGGGTTAATGCTTAGGCTCTGGAACCGTGCAGTCCTTAGACACAGAGTGGGACCCATAACTGTAACTTAGTTTTTCGAAGTCACCACATTAAGAAGATGAAATCAGTGAGGTGAATATTAAAATAGATTTTGTTTAATCCAGTGTATTATATCAGCAATGTAAACAATATAAAATTTTCACTTTTAAAGTCTTGAAACATTAGGCTTCAAAATCCTGCATGTACTTACACATACGGGCCATCTCAACGAGAATACTAAATTTCAACTCGGGATACTGTGATGTTTTCTTTAGAACTAAAAAAAATGCCATTGCAAAAGTAGATTTCATACCCAAGTTGTTCCACAGACACTAAAACGTTTTCAACAGCCTAACTGGGTATCGGTTTTTATATTTAAATAAAAAATAAAAGAAACTGTGTTTAAAAAAAGGAGGGTGCAACCACAGACCCCAAATGGTGTCTCTTAGAATTTCCAAACCTGGGTAATACTGAAATTGCAATTTCAGCCTCCCCAGGAACGCGGCCCGTCACTGGTCAGTCAGGAAATTTTCTTTCCATTTCCTTCTCTCTTTCCTTCCTTCCGCACCAGTGAGTCGGTCCCCTGGGTCCTCCAGTGCCCCAGAGAGAGATGAGGTCCTCTACCAGGAGACCCTAGGATACAGCCTCCTCTGGAACAATCCCTTTCTTTTCCACAAACTTTCTTGTCCCCCATGACCCCCCGCCGCTCCTTCTACAAAGAAAAAAAATTGTGTGTATTTCCTGGGCGCTGTCTTCTTGCTACACCGGAGGCTGCCCGGGAAGTAGAATAGACCGACCTGGTTAAGAATTCTGTGGCTTTCAGGGTGCCTGGCCGGCTGAGTCAGGACAGCCCGAGACTCTTCCCCCTCATGAGCTCGAGTCTGAGTCCCACCCTGGCTGCACAGATTACTTTAAAAACAAAAAAAGCCATTCTGGCGTTGCCCTTGCCTGGCCGCTTAGCAAATGGCCTAGCCCCTGCAAGCTCCACTCTCCACTCCGATGCCCTGGAAACGCCCGCAGACACAGCGGCAGCGTGGACACGCCTCTTTGCCGCGCCCTTCACAGGAGTGGGGATGCCATCGTCCCCATCCGTCTGCAGGAATCATTAGTGATCCGAAAGCCTGCAGTGTGACAGTGCCTAAGTAACTAATTCATGCTCTGCAGCCCTGAACCGTGCTTGGCCACGAATCGCTGTTAGTGCAGGCTAACACCATTAAGGAAGAGGAGGGTCACCGCGGGGTCGCCGCCAGCGGCTGCAGAGGGACTGCAAGCACCCGCGTCCGCGACAGCGGGGCCTCAGGCCACTATTCTCCCAAAATGTTTTCCGAAACGTAGCTGCTGTTGTCGTTCAAGAAGCAAATCCCGAACTGCTAGGGAACGCCTACGCTTTTACCTCGTAGTCCCGGATGGGATTTTAAACAGCGTTTAAATAAACCAGAGGAAGGAGGGACGGGGACCTGAGATACTAGCATCAGAACACAGAACCCGCCGCCCAGACCCTGCTTACGGTTGGCGGTTTCCCGCCGGGCAAACGGAAGCAAAACTGCCCCTGACGTCATGGGAGGAGGCCGCTCCCGGTTACCATGGTGAAGCCCGAGCGGCCATCTTTACTGTGGTCAGCCAGCCCCAGGCTTTTCCTGGAGGCCGGGTGGTGCGCCATGGGGAGTCTTCACGATAAGACACGAGAAGGGAATCGTGCCTCTCGCTAATAAGGAACTGGAAGAATCACGAAAGACCAGAGGCAAAAAGCATTAACCAGTGTAGGTAGGGGATCACACCGGCGGTGCGGCTTTAGCGGAACGATTGGAAAGGGCCCAGGGAGGTTTCCGCCCGGAGTCCGAGAGCCGCTTCCGGCCCTCAGCGGAAGCGTGGGGCGCCAGAGGACGACTCTTGGTAAAGAATCGGCTCTCCGCTGGGCGCCCAACCGGAATCATGTCGAGTTTGGCGGTGAGAGACCCGGCGATGGATCGGTCCCTGCGTTCCGTGTTTGTGGGGAACATTCCGTATGAGGCCACCGAGGAGCAGCTGAAGGACATTTTCTCGGAGGTCGGTTCTGTGGTCAGTTTCCGGCTGGTGTACGACCGGGAGACGGGCAAGCCCAAGGGCTATGGCTTCTGTGAGTACCAGGACCAGGAGACGGCGCTGAGCGCCATGCGCAACCTCAATGGGCGCGAGTTCAGCGGCCGGGCGCTGCGGGTGGACAACGCGGCCAGCGAGAAGAACAAGGAGGAGCTCAAGAGCCTGGGGCCCGCGGCGCCTATCATCGACTCGCCCTACGGTGACCCCATCGACCCGGAAGACGCCCCCGAGTCCATCACCAGGGCGGTCGCCAGCCTGCCCCCCGAGCAGATGTTCGAGCTCATGAAGCAGATGAAGCTGTGCGTGCAGAACAGCCACCAGGAAGCGCGGAACATGCTGCTGCAGAACCCCCAGCTGGCCTATGCGCTGCTGCAGGCCCAGGTGGTGATGAGAATCATGGATCCGGAGATCGCTCTGAAAATCCTGCACCGCAAGATCCATGTCACCCCGCTCATCCCGGGCAAATCTCAGCCCGTGTCCGGGCCCGGCCCTGGCCCGGGGCTGTGCCCGGGACCCAGTGTCCTGCTGAACCAGCAGAACGCGCCAGCACCTCAGCCGCAGCACATGGCCAGACGGCCCGTGAAGGACATTCCGCCTCTGATGCAGACCCCTATCCAGGGCGGGATCCCGGCCCCCGGGCCACTGCCGGCCGCGGTTCCGGGACCCGGGCCTGGTTCCCTGACTCCCGGTGGAGGAATGCAGCCCCAGGTGGGGATGCCAGGCGTTGGTCCAGTGCCTTTAGAGCGGGGACAGGTGCAGATGTCGGATCCCCGAGCGCCTCTACCTCGCGGACCCATGACTGCCGGTGGCCTGCCTCCTCGAGGGCTGTTAGGAGATGCGCCAAACGACCCCCGTGGAGGGACTTTGCTTTCAGTCACGGGGGAGGTAGAGCCTAGAGGCTATCTTGGCCCGCCTCATCAGGGTCCCCCCATGCACCATGCGTCCGGTCACGACGGCCGTGGCCCTTCCTCCCATGAGATGAGGGGAGGGCCATTAGCAGATCCCAGACTGCTAATTGGAGAGCCCCGGGGACCCATGATAGATCAGAGGGGTCTCCCGATGGATGGTAGAGGCAGTAGAGATTCTCGAGGGATGGAGCCTCGAGCCATGGAGACTGAGGTCTTAGAGACGCGAGTAATGGAAAGAAGAGGAATGGAGACCTGTGCAATGGAGACCAGAGGGATGGAAGCGCGAGGCATGGATGGAAGAGGAATGGAGATAAGGGGCCCTGGCCCCAGTTCCAGAGGCCCAATGACTGGTGGAATCCAGGGTCCAGGGCCCATTAACGTGGGGGCAGGCGGTCCTCAGGGACCCAGGCAGGTGGCAGGCATTTCAGGGGTGGGTAATCCTGGAGCGGGCATGCAGGGGGCGAGCATACAAGGAACAGGTATGCAGGGGGCGGGCATGCAAGGAACAGGTATGCAGGGGGCGGGCATGCAAGGAACGGGCATGCAGGGGGCGGGCATGCAAGGAGTGGGCATGCAGGGGGCGGGTAAGCAAGGGGGCGGCCAGCCTAGCAGTTTTAGCCCCGGGCAGAGCCAGGTGACGCCGCAGGATCAAGAGAAGGCGGCTCTGATCATGCAGGTCCTGCAGCTGACTGCCGACCAGATAGCCATGCTGCCCCCTGAGCAAAGGCAGAGCATCCTCATTTTAAAGGAACAAATTCAGAAATCTACTGGAGCTTCTTGAAAGGCTATAGGAAGTGTCGGAAGCGTTTGGCAGTAGCCTCCAGTTTCTTCTGTAGTCTGGGGAAGGGGTGCCGAACGCCCACCTCTGCATCCCACACTTGAATGAGGGGTTCCCTCCCAGAACGTTAGTTCCCCTTGTTGTCTTTGTATTTTTTTCTGTTTTCCTTTTTACTTTAATGGGGGGGAGGAAAGAGTGGGTCTGTTCACTTTTATTCACTGTAAATATACAGAAGTAACTGAACGTGGTTATGTTATACCAAATAAGATTACAAAGGATATGCAGCAACACGAAAAGAGTCTACGATACGTTAACTACATTTTTTAAATATTGAGTAAAACAATGTGAAAACTGCACATGATACTAAAATGTGACCTGTTAAGATGGTGATGTACTAAGATAGTTTAAGATTCTTGGTTGTGTAAGAAAATAAAGACGTTTACCTCAATATATGTTTTTTGGTATGCCATTTAAAATACTATAACCCTATTTTGGGGACAGAAAGAATGCTGTCCTAGGTTAAACCTTGTGATGGCGTTTTGGACTATTTCAAAATATTAGTGCTAACAGGGTAAGTCTCAACTTGTGGTATTAGAATTGGTTTTTTTCTAAAGCTGTGCTACCTGAAAAGTCCAGGAATGAAAAGCAGGGTGGTATTTCTTTTATCTGACCGGAGACAGGCAATACTGTGGCCTGGCCTTGAGCGTGGGGGTGTGGTGACTTCGCTGGGACCGTTCTAGGATCTCCGGGTACTAAGGTCTGTTCCGAGAGACTCTGTCTCAGCACCTTCCTGTTACTCACTAGTCTTCAAGCCCTGAGTATGAATCTAGGTAATTTCTCTTACAGCCTTTCTAAACATCTGGGTCTAGGGACCAGGTGATTGGGTTGAATTGTACACATCACTGGACTTCTCATAAACAGAGAGCTTCATGCTGTCAAGTTCTGTTTCCTGGGGCTAGCTGCCAGTATAGACGGTATCCATGTGGTCACGCAGGATTGGGACTTAATCTCAGTCTCTCCGAGGTTTAACATGCCTCTTTTCTTATTTATACATCTTTTTTTTTTATGTTTTATTTCTTTTATTTTTTTTAATATTTTTATTTATTTCTAGGAGAGAGAGAGACAGTGTGAGCAGGGGAGGGTCAGAGAGAGAGGGAGATAGACTCTGAAATAGGCTCCAGGCTCTGAGCTGGCAGTCAGCACAGAGCCCGACGCGGGGCTCGAACCTACGAACCCGCGAGATCATGACCTAAGCAAAAGTCGGACGCCTAACCGACTAAGCCACCCAGGTGCCCCTTTAATGTTTTATTTCTGAGAGAGAGAGACAGCTTGAACGGGGAGGGTCAGAGAGAGGGAGACACAGAATCTGAAACAGGCCCTAGGCTCTGAGCTGGCTGTCAGCACAGAGCCTGACTCAGGGCTCAAATCCAGAAACCGTGAGATCATGACCTGAGTTGAAGTCCGACGCCTCACCGACTGAGCCACCCAGGTGCCCCAATAGATATAATTATCTATCACTGTGTTATCAGGATAACTGAGATATTCTTATAGCCTGAATTCTCTGCTTAGCTACTTATTACTCACTTGTTAGTTTTTTTAAAAAAGTAATAAAGCCATTTAGTCTGAGTACACATACCCATGAAAGCAATTTAAAAATCACTAGGAAGGTGGGGCTTATCACACTTTCTTCAGAGCCTTGATGTGGATACATAAAGATTTGTGTCATGGACCAAATAACAGAAGCATAAAGACTCAAATAACCACGTGGTCTTTCTCTGCAGAAGAAAAACCAATGTCTAGTAATAGAGGAAAAAATAGCATTTAATACAAGGAAAGAGCTGAGATTTGGAAATTAAATTTTTCCCCTTTCAAGGTTTTTACATCTTAGGTGTTTCACTCTTTCTGACAGTCTTCTGCCCCGTGCTATTTCCTGCCACCTGTTTCATTCTTTTCTTGTTGTTATCCATACTGTTGACTTTCCCATGTTTTCTGTATGCTTCCCCCATGTTGGGGAGGCCACGTCTCTATTCAACATAAGATAGTTCTGGTTAATACTCATTCACAGAGTTGGCTCGAATGCTTGGAAGTTAAAATCACTTTATCCCAAAGCTTTCACTGAAGGGCTCTGACTGAAAACTTAGATGTTCCACTCTATCGTTAAATCTGCATTGTTCAATGCAGACTACATAAAAGGAATGTAAAGTTAAGGATGACCTTAGTATCTGATGTTTATTTTTAATGAATGAATTATCCAAAAGGAATCAATTCTCAAGAAATCCATGGGTCTGAATACTTCTTTCCCCTTTAAATGAAAAAGGCAAACAAAAAAAAAAAATGGCAGGAGTGGATGGAAATCCTTTTCTTAGATCCATTATCTGTATAGTTCCACGGTTGGAAAACCTAAAGACATGTTATTCTATGGTTGGTATCAGTAGCACCATCTTGGTGTGTGCCCAGATATTAGGCTCCCTTTTGCTTATGTTCCCCCCAGAGAACTCCCTGCAGCCTAGGAAGACCTGATAGGTACCATCATAACTGACGGCACGTGTTATACTGCAGCATTCGATTTTACTTCACACTCTACTGCCCCCCCCCCCACTTTTAATGGACCAGGAACTCTGACAGGAACTGTCATTCATTTCTGTGCTTGCTACCCCAAAATCACAGGTAAGAAGGAAGGACAAAATATTATATCCGTCTTGGGGATGGGGCAGGGGGGGCATCCCATTAAGAGTACATAAAGTTCGGGGTGCCTGGGTGGCTTAGTCGGTTAAGCGTCCGACTTTTGCTTAGGTCATGATCTCGTGGTTCGTGGCTTCGAGCCCCATGTCGGGCTCTGTGCTGACTGCCAGCTCAGAGCCTGGAGCCTGTTTCAGTCTGTGACTCCCTCTCTCTCTGACCCTCCCCTGATCACGATGTCTCTCTCTCTCCTAGAAATTAAAAAAAAAAAAGGAGTACATAAAGTTCCCCCAAAACAGACTCCACACAAAACAGATGAGCTGTAACCACTTGTTACATTAGAAAATGCATGAGTAATAGGTAAATAGAAGCAGGTTCCCCCTTACCCACTTCATGGACTGTCTCAGTATTGGTAGACTGAGCCTCATTTCATTTGATGGTGATGCAAGCAATATGTGCCTGCTACAATCAGAATCCAGCTGTTTCACTCCATACCCCTGGTTATAACCCTTAATACCTGCGTGTTCCCAAATATGGATAGGCTACAAATGCAATCACAAATTCATTCATTATAACAATGCTTAATGATGGAGTGAAACACTGATTTGTAAATACATTTTTAGGGCTTATTCCTTTTGAGCAGTATGTTTCTTGGGAATGTGAAATGGGCAACTTGAATTAGTGCCTGCCCATTAGCTGTTCCCCTCTTACATTACTGGTGATTAATATCAAGATGTGTTTTAATGTCTGCTGATGTTTCAGGACTTCTATTTTTCTTTTTTTAATGCTTATTTATTTTGGAGAGAGAGGGAGAGCACAAGCAGGGGAGGGGCAGAGAGGAGACACTGAATCCGAAGCGGGTTTCAGGCTCTGAGCTGTCAGCACAGAGCCCTATGTGGGGCTGGAACTCAAGAACTGTGAGATCATGACCTGAGCTGATGTGGGACCATTAGCCGACTGAGCCACCCAGGCACCCCAGGACTCCTAATTTTAAGAGTTTTTTGATAAGATAGATATAAGCCAATGTGAATCCCAGGTGAAGGTAAGCTAATCCAAGTAAGATCATGTAAGATCATAACTTTTCAAGTACACTTTTAAGAAATCTCATGGTAGAAAAGTCTGAAGAGCAACAATGAAAACAAACAAAAAACAACCCAAAAGGCTTAACGTGATCTCAGTTTGCAAAGCTTCTCACTTTCCCATGCTCTGAGGGACATTGACTAAGCACACAGCACCTAATTTCCTGTGGTGTGTCAGGGCTTCCTCTTGGGATGGATGGTGTGTAAGGACAATTGTATGCATCAAGCTTACGTGGCAGGGAAGCTGAATTGTCAGTTACGTCTCGCAGTCGGCTCACAAAGAGTATGCCAGCCTCTTCACGGCTTTATATTGTCAGCTAATCTCTAGACAGACTTCTGGTTGACCTTGCTCTTCTCATCAGTCTCTAGTCAAGAATGCTCTATAGTCAAGAACTAATTCATTTTAAGGGAACTAATCTACTTAAAAGCATATAAATAATGTTAATATTAGCTTTAATAGTATGAATATTATGATATTGGTATACAGTTTGCTAATATGTTCCATACATATGTATATTTCAAATCTTCACTAGATCTTTTAGTATTTTCATTTGCTATTATGCAACTTCAAACAAGCACTTACTCGTAACTTTGGCTGAAAATTCAGCATTACAAATATTCATATTACAAATTACCTTTTACATACGGTGTTAACTAGCATGTTTCTTCTTTTTTAAATGTTTGTTTATTTATTTATTTGTGTGTGAGAGAGAGAGAGAACAGAGCACAAGCAGGGAAGGGGCAGAGAGAAAGAGGGAGACACAGAATCCGAAGCAGCCTCCAGGCTCTGAGCTGTCAGCACAGAGCCTGCCGACATGGGGCTTGAATTAACAAATAGCAAAGTTATGACCTGAGCCAAAGTCAGATGCTCAACCGACTGAGCCACCCAGGTGGCCCTAATATGTTTCTTCTTGATATTTTTCTATTTCAGTATAAACCTTATGTCGGCAAAGGATCTACGTTGCATCAAAGGTGACATTAGGGTAGCCCTGTCAAAAATAACAAACTCCCTAATTATTAAATACTGTACAAAAAAATACTGAAGTATTACCCTAGAAAGAAAAAAAAGGTGAAGAATTCTGGTTAATGACAATTCTTTATAAACAGGAGTTAATTTAGGTGTCAAAGGTAGGTATCTCATTATCAAAGACTTAGAATAAATACACAACATTTTCAACCATAATTGCTTTTGTAGGACTCCGTATGTATTAAATCTGCAGACTTTGGAAATCACCATCAAGTGTCACAAAGGTAGGTCCTTTAAAAAAAGCTAATCGGTTTGATGACCTCTTTGTTGTCTATCACTAAAGAACAATGGATTATCTCTTGGGCAGCAAACCATGAAACCTAGCAGTTCCCCGCACAATTATTTTGTCTCTTCACTTAATTAGCTGTTTTAATCACAATTCTGCCTCCTTCCATTACTAATATTCTGTAATTCTACTGCTAAAGTCTGAGCCACTTTTGTGTACCCATGAGCCTTTGCTCTACCCCCACCTTGCTGCCTGGAGTGATTACATGACCACCTGTGTGTTTCCGAGTCTATCTCTTTATCCCTGGACATTGCCCAGAACAAGGTAAAACTGGCTATAACTCAGTCCCCAATTTCCTTTGCCTTAACGTTCACTTTTAATAACATTCAAAGCAGGAGCCACATTAACAATCATATTTGAGTTAACAATGTGATGAA